ACTAAAAAGTACACGAAAATGCGACTCACTAGTTAAATTAGATCAATCATCGGCATTGTACCGTTCACATCACTGCCTTTTTTTTTATTGCTTAGATAGGTGGACGAGCTCACAGCCCACCTGGTGTTAAGTGGTTACTGGAGCCCATCCACAACGTAAATGCGCCACCCACCTTGAGATATAAGTTCTAACGTCTCAGTTTAGTTACAACGGCTGCCCCACCCTTCAAACCGAAACGCATTACTGCTTCACGGCAGGGCGGTGGTACCCACCCGCGCGGACTCACAAGAGGTCCTACCACCAGTAATTACGCAAATTATAATTTTGCTGGTTTGATTTTTATTACACGATGTTATTCCTTCACCGTGGAAGTCAATCGTGAACATTTGTTGAGTACGTATTTCATTAGAAAAATTGGTACCCGCCTGAGATTCGAACACCGGTGCATCGCGCAACACGAGTGCATCGGACGTCTTATCCGTTAGGCCACGACGACTGCCTATCGTAAAATACTCCTTCTCACGTCACGTTTGAAGAAAGACATGTTGTAATGCTCAGATAACAAACATAGTACAGGTAAGTTCATTCGAAGCTTTAGTGCAAAAGTAAAACGCCGCAAGTCCTTGAAAAGCTCACGTTATGGACGATAAATAACACCACCCAAACACAAAATGTCCTTACACGCCATTACCAATATTATACCTTCGTGTTCCTGGGTGTAAAAATAAAAGAAATGACGTCATAAAATTACCATGATGGTCTTTCGAACGCATTCATTTTTTATTTTATTCGGTAAAAACAAAAAGGTAGCGAAACGCTATGTCATCATAACGAAAGAGACCATAGATTTTGATACATACAACTAAAGTATTTACTATGGAAAATTCATGTATGAATTGTAAATTTATTTTTGTGTGAAAAATAAATAGTTTTATCATTATATTTGTATATTATAGAGTACACCGCGCTTAATTTCATTCCTTAGATGATTCTCCTCCACACCAACCGAGAGTGCACTTAGTGCTAGTTTTTTAACGTTCTCGAGAGCGTAAAAGTTAACTCACATTTGTATGCAGTTGGAAAGGCGCCCCTGGCGGCAAAAATAGGCAAACGTTCCAACTCCATATAAATTTGAGTTAACTTTTACGTTATCGAGAACGTTAAAATCCTCGCACTGAGCAGACTGATTGAGAGGCCCGTGCGCTCACTTACTCGTCCGGTTACTCCGGTATAACCCCTTAGGTTACCAGCTTAGAGGTAGGAAAAAAGTTCCTACCGCCTATTTTACAATCTACATTTAATGTTTTGCATTTTGGTTTATTTTTCTACGTGATCCCACCGTACGCAATATGCTAAATAAATTCGTACAACACATCTATAGTTGCATTTGGGATAGATTTGTCCTACGCTAGAAGAAACGCTTGCTTGAATCCGAAGCTCACCATGTGGATTTTTATAGCTCATATCGTCATCGTGCTGGGATAAAATTTATACTAGCTTTTAAGTTTAATAATTAAATATTAAACACAAAAGTTTTATAAAATAGGTTCAATTGTTTTGGCGTTACAATCGAAGTTAATATTTTAAGAAAAAGGTAAAAAAAAAAACTACTTAAATTAGTCCCAAATCGCAGTTTATGTTCATAATATTCTATTAAATAATGATTCAAAACAAAAATAATCAAGACGTTATCTTTCAAAAAATTAATTCATCGATAGGTAAATTCTTGATAGTGTTAATTAGATCATCATTAAATCACTGCATCATTATTGGGAATGATTGTTAGTATTAATACCAGACGAAAGTGATATACATCACGTAACTGTGTTCTGTTGATGGAATATATGTTTACTTCTTGCCTCATAGTTAGCCAAGGTTATAATAGTCAATATGCTGGTTTACTTGTGGTAGGACGTCTTGTGAGTCCGCATGGGTAGGTACCACCATCGGGCCGGGGACCGAACCTCCTACGAGGTCCCCGCGCCTAGGGGTATGTGGGACTTAACGATCTGCAAGGTGTTGGGAGCAGACCGTGGGCCTAAGGAATTTTAGGGCCCACCCACTAAACGACTTCCCCGCACTCTTCGCCCAAGCGTCCGATCCCCTCCGAGGTCAGAATCCGGATGAGGTAGGGGGGTTACCGCGGTCAACACTGCAACCAGACAGCGCAGCTCACCCCAAGTAACTATACTGAGATCTTAGAACTTATATATCAAGGCGTGTAGCGCATTTACGTTGGAGATGTCTATGGGCTCCAATAACCACTTAACACCAGGTGGGCTATGAGCTCGTCCACCCATCTGAGCAATAAAAAAAATGCTGAAGAGTCTCTTCAAACTTCATTTGAATAAGGACGAGTCTGGGTGCTGAAGAAACATAGTGTGTTTCATTTCAGAGCTGGGCAAAAGAGCATGGCAAAACGAATTCTAGAAATGTACAACCGATATGCGCAGATGACGGAACATCTCATCCTCAGATAAGTATTCGAAAGTTGATAATTTGAATTCTTGAACAATTTCTAGAATCGTTAACGGTTTAGTCGCTTCCAGAACTTTTTACTGGTGGTAGGACCGCTTATGGGTCCGCGCGGGAGGTACCACCGCCCTGCCTGTTTCTGCCGTGAAGCAGTAATGCGTTTCGGTTCGAAGGGTGGGGCAGCCGTTGTAACTATACTGAGATCTTAGAACTTATATCTCAAGGTGGGTGGCGCATTTACGTTGTAGATGTCCATGGGCTCCAGTAACCAGTAACCACTTAACACTAGGCGGGCTGTGAGCTCGTCCACCCATCTAAGCACTAAAAAAAAAGAAGAACTGACCTTTTTTTTCCTATCCATGGTGTTAGCCGGAGGCGTTGCTAACACTGACCCTAGCAAGAGCAGTGCTTCGCAGAATCTACCACCGGATCGGAAACGCGACCAACTGAGAAGATCCGGCGAGAAACTCAGTGGGCTCCAGAACTGACGAAAAGGGATCATACACAAATGAATCCCAGTGTCATTATAATCCGGGAAAATATTTGACGGGTAACATAGTGGCCTCTCATTATCTTTGAAAACGTCGAATTCGCATCGAGTACCCAAGGTTCCGTCCTTGGATTAGAGCCCCATGAGCTCACCTACTCGCCCGATTACGCTGGCATAGCCCTCTAGATTACCAGCTTAGGTAGGGAAAAAAAAGAGTACTGAAGAGTCATATTTTTTTGTACCTACCCGTGCGGACTCACAGGAGATCCTACTACCAGTAATTACGCAAATTATAATTTTTGCGGGTTTGATTTTTATTACACGATGTTATTCCTTCACCGTGGAGGTCAATCGTGAACATTTGTTATGTACGTATTTCATTACAAAAATTGGTACTTGCCGGCGGGATTCGAACACCGGTGCATCGCTACATACGAATGCAGTGGAAGCCTTATTCTTTAGGCCACGAAAACTTCAAAAATTTCACCCTATCTAAAATGAAGCAAGAACAGAAATATTGGAATTCGCAACGGTGCGTTACGCCTGAGAAATCGTATTGGGAAAGTAAAAGACATTTTCACTTTACACAACACATTTGTATTTTTTTAAGGTATGTTTATACGCGAATCGTAAACATAATTAGTAAAGACCAGTCGAGTGGCTTACGATGGAATACCCGCAGTATTTACCAATATACATTTTCGAACAATTATATAACACTAGAAGTCCCGCAGTAGTCGAAATTCGACTATAATTAATTGGAATTGTAAGTTTGTACACTATTATGATTGTATTTTATACTTCTATAATCACAAATTTCGCCGAGACTACTATAAAAAATATTAACAAAGACAAACAATATTTAATCTATTCTCAATTTGACCACGGACGTCAAGAACAAAAGTTTGACAATAAATAGTATGCATGCGTGTTTGCGTCAAATACATGGTATGTAGTGTGTGTAATGTTTTCTTTATTGATTTAATGTATCTTTTATGCATTGTTTTAAAAAAATATTAGCATTGTGCCACTTCGTCTCTATATTCTCTATAAGTGTGGAAAATTTCATACTCCTCCGTCCGGGCAATTTTCGTAAAAAGGCATACAAAGTTTTTCCTTCACGTATTAATATATAAATAAATAAATATTTACTAACAATCACGCCACGTTAATTGGTCCCATGATAAGTTCGTAAAGAACTTGTGTTACAGGTACCAGATGACGGATATAAATGTAAGATTTTTATTATACACATACATATATTTAATAGACATCCATAACCCTGGAAAAGACATTTATATTTATCATACAAATATCTTCCCTTGGCGGGATTCGAACCCGCGACCCCCTTGTGTAGTGACCATGTCACTTACCACTACACCAGACGGCCGTTTATATAGATAGTAGATGGTATCAAGGGCCTAAATTAACAGACTTAATTATAGGGTTCGTTGATTGGCTGTGTTTATGTTGTCCGAATCTCTGTCCAAACCAGAAAACTAGGCTGTATTTATGTTGTTATAACGACTATCGCAACCCTGCGAAACTGGATCGCACGACTGCTTCCCAGCACTTACATGTGCAATGATAATAAAAAATAGTACTTTTGTTTGAATAGAAATGTAAGATTTTTTTTAAATCGGCATAATTTTCCTTGTCACTCACCGTCGATGGTTAGAGCTGTCAACGTTATGTAAAAGTGGAGGTAGTCAAGAATAAAGATTGCTTACGGTATCAGAGCTTTAAACGAATCATCATCACAAAGTGCTCACAAATTAGGGCTTCAAAATTTCAACAACACCCCTGTGTGCTTAGGGCGAGTTTCTTAACGTTCTCGTTAGCGTAAAAGTTAAGCCAATTTAGTATGCAGTTGGAACAGCGCCCCTAGCGGCAAACTTAGGCAAACGTTACAACTCCATACAAATTTGCGTTAACTTTTACGCTATCGAGAACGTTAAAAAACCCGCACTGAGCACAGAGTTCTTATAATGCGTTAATTTGGTTCCAAATCATCCGGTAGTGTTTGAACACTTACTGATAGACTCGAGCTGCCCGGCGTGGTCCCGTAACCAGAGGAGGGCAGCGATGCCACCGACCACCTGCGACCGTCGCTGTTGACAAGAAGACAACATGATAATAATTTAAAGAAAAAAATGTCGACACCTCAGATATCGCCTGGTATTTAAAATTACATCAGTTGTTTTATTTTTTCGCAGCTATCTGCATTATCAAGACTGATACCTAAAGGGTTCAGACAAAAAAAATCCACCCTCTTTCTAGTCGTTTTGGATGTTATCGCCGATATTCGATGACATGACCAAGGTGTCGGTCAAAACCGGACTGGAAAGAGCGTAAAGAGTTGTATCTAAAATCCTACCCGGAGTCTTCAGTTTACCCGTGACCATGACCCGCCGAAGTAACGAGATCTAATTGAATGTCAAAATTCTGGTAAATTTCCTTTCCGGCCTTTGGTAAATTTCCACATATCCGCTAATAGAAAAGTCTGTCTTATCGTGGCTTGCCTTAATGTTGTCGTATCGCAACGTGACGTACGTATGTCATGTTACCGATTGAACTGTTTGAATGTTTCCAATTTGCAAGTATGTGTCATACAGCTAAGTCGGAAACCCTGCAGATTCTACACCCAATGTGTTTCTCTGAGAGTTATAAAATACGTATTTAATGCATGTGACTGGTGTGCCAATACTTCTTCTTAACCTTATCCCACATAGCGTGGTGTCACCGCAGCATGTCCTATCATGCTATCATGTATAACTATTTGGCATGAGTTTTATTTACGACAGGCCGCCTGCGTGACGTCACCAATACATGTGCCGCAAAGACTCCATATTGCTAATGCAGTAATAAAATGCATTAGGTATATCCGTCATTGATAAACGAGATCTTGGTCATCTGGTGATTAGTGGAGCCCGTAGACATCACAACGTCAAGCCCGTACCCAAAACCAAAACAAAAAAAAATTAGTTTGATATTTATTACACAATGCTATTTCCAAGATCGTGGAAGTCATTCGTGAACATGAGTTACGTATTTCATTACAAAAATTGGTAGCTGCTTGTGGGATTCGAACACCGGTACAGTCGCATCGCTCGATACGACTACACCGGGCGTCTTATCTTTGAGGCCACGACGATGTATATTCATACATATGAGAATTTAATACTATGCTGTATCCGTTTTGCCGAAAAGTGAACGTTGTTAGTATCACGTCACGTCTTGCAATATACGCTATGTACATTTTAATTTGATTATCAGTATTCAGCTCTGTAAATCAACATTACAAACATAAGAGTCGAATATCCGATGATATCATCTTTTAATTACCCATAACGTATCAAACATCTACACGCACACGAAGATATAAAAATAAGGTTGTTTTCAGAAAAATGATCCGGCCTTAAGATTTTTTTTTATTAAATCAACAATTATCAGTTGCCTGACTATGCCCTCGTCACTGTCGGCGTTCAATGGCAACGATCAGGCGTGTCATCTTCTTCTTCAAATCGTGTCCACCCAATGCTGAGTGTAGGTCTCTTCGAGTGCACCTCATTCTCTTCGGTCTCTTGCCTTTCTCATCCAATCTCTACCAACTACTTTGACCAGGTCATCGGTTCACCTCGTTGGCTGTATGCCCACATCATGACGTCCAGTACGATATCTTCACTCCAGTACTTCTGTGCCCCACCGATCGTCAGTGCGACGGCATATGTGGCCAGCCAACTTCCACTTTTTCCGAGCAATCACTTTCGGCGTGTCATTAATTCGATCAATATAAAAGACAACATCAAATCAGTTAACCAGCCAGCTGCCTAGTCAATAGCATTTTTCAATACACAAACAAGACGCATCAAAAAATAAATCATTTAAGCCGGGTCATTTTCCGTGACGTCACAGCTAATTGAATTAATCTTTAAAGAACATAATCTTCGAACACCTCAATCAAACGTCACCTTCGGTTTAGAACATTCGAGATCACAAAACCTGATCCCGATTGTTTTTTTTCTTTGGGAACGATAATTCGACGGGTAAAAGCCTATTTGGCTTAAGCCACATTTTTGCAACTTTACACGAGAGCCATTTAATATTTAAAATTTGGAAAACATATCATAAGTAAAAATCTTCTTCAGATATTTGAATAATTAATTGAAGTTCAAATAACAACAACATCAAACTGTTGATTAATAATAAAACCCATTTTTTTTATTACAAAGATAAATGTGGCGTATTAAGCGAAATGCTGCTTAAACCAAGCCTTTTATCCGTCGGATATTACATCGCACCTTTAGAATTGAAGTGGCCTAATCTATATTCCTTAAAAAAAAATTGATTTATTTTTTTTTTTCGATTTCTATGTTACACCACAGTAAGCGCTTGAATTAAAAGAAATGGCAAAAGTATTTTTCGATGCCTCCAATGAACACTATTCTAACTCCAAATTCGTAGGTTTACAGGAGGAGCGTTTAAACGAAAAAAAAGTTGATAAAGTCTTTATTATTGCAGATATATTTATGGTTTTTTTCTTGTGTAACTAGCTGATTTACTCTTGCTTCGAACCCCATCAATAATGAATTTGTAATAATTTTAAAATAGTGAAGCGATTTGCGTGAAAGACGAAAATTTCAAAATTTTGAGTTAGAGTAGTAGTGTTCATTGGAGGCATCGTTTTGTCCTTTCTCGAGTAAAAGAGACTTTAATTTTTAAGCCAATAAAATACATGTTTATAAATCTTTCGAAATATAAAAATAAATTTCTTAAAAATTTTAAGTTATACCACTTCAATTCTAAACGTTGCGATATCGTTCAAGAGGTTCATTGAACTCGAGACGGGCAATGTAATTAAATAAATCAATAAACGGTACTCACATATCCTTGTTTCTGATTCGGTTTGACATGTAAACAATACGATTGTGTCATTAGATATAATGTTATCGTTCTAGAATGATTTTCTATAAAGAAAATAATAATATGTAATAATAATTTTTATATAGTGTGTGCAGGAGCAGGTTCGTTCCTCGTCGTATTAGCGATTTTAAAATGAAAATAGGCCGTTTTTATAATAGTATTCCACCTTTAATCTTCCTTTGATACATTACATATAATTTTATAAATTAATCGCATTGTGTCGTTGAAAGGTTTTTCTTGAATTGAACATACTTAAAATGGAATCGGAATGAAATCAAACAAAAAAAAGTTACGTCGGTAGATGGCGCATTCGATAAATTTAAAATGATGGAATTAAGCAGTCTGTTCCAGTTGACCAATAGATGGCGTAAACATAGTGTTTTTTTATAAAGTGCAATATTTTTTTATACCTTTTTTGAAAAATATTGTGTAATTAACAAGATTTTAAATAAATATAGATAGTATAATAATAATAAGCCATTTATTTCTTGCTTTTACAAAGTTTTTTAAAAATAATAAATATAAAGATAAAGATAAAGAAGCCTTTATTAACAACCTTAACACGTTGACTGCCGTGTAGGTCACCGGTGCCCTACGCGGCGCTCTGAAGTAATTATGTCGATTTCTATTACTAAGCGCCTGGATTGCTTAACTTTACCTTCTTTCATTTTTAATGTTTGATTTAATCTATTAGGTCTCTTAGAAATTGATTCATTCCCAGTATATTCGAATTCCAGTCTACCAGAGTCTACTAGATATTCCGGTGCCTTAATCAGAAGATGGAAGAGAGAAATCGACATAATTCCTTCAGTGCGCCGCGTAGGGCACCGGTGTCCTACATGGGGCAGTCAAAGGGTTAATTCATATTTAGGTACATACTATTAATTTAATTTTGTTTTTCTAAGCATTTGACATCGGCTAAGATTGTTTTGCTTTCTTTTGTTTTGTTTTTCTACAACATCCTGCTAATATTATAAACCCGAAGGTTTGTAAGAATGTATGGATGTATGTTTGTTACAGTTTCGCGCAAAAACTACTGAATGGATTTTGATGAAACTTTACACTAATATAGCTTACACATCAGAATGACAGTTAAACTATAATTTACTAAGATATAGTGTGAATTACCAAAAATATAACGATAACAGTCAAGTAAAAAGTAAAAAAATCTGTCATCTCCGAGCTATTCTGGCGTGCGCCTCAAAAACCGTTGGAGTTGTTACACTTATTATTATATAAAGTACTAGCTGACCCGGAAGACTTTGTAGTGCCACAATCGATAAATAAAAGACCTAAACTTTTGTATAAAATAAACTTAAAACAAACAAAAGGAATCGGCGCGACGGAGGACACATCAAAGGAAAAACAAAATTGTTATTTTTATTTAATTTCGAGCATTTTCATATTTATCTACCTTTTAAACCTTCTCTGGACTTCCACAAATAATTCAAGACCAAAATTAGCCATATCGGTTCAGCCGCTCTCGAGTTTGAGCGAGACTAACGAACAGCAATTCATTTTTATATATAGAGAAGATAATGAAAATGTTTATCTTAAACGGGCCTACAAAAAATCCCGCAAGATACAGCATATATCTATCTTTTATTTGTAAGTAATTATCGCCAAAATAGTGAACCGTGAATATAAAACGGGGAAAGATTAGATTTTTTGTTTGATAAGTTCTTTTTTTTTGTGATTGTTATAGTCAGGACCAGATTTGTATTTAAAAAAATTCAATAGGATCAATAATAAATTACAGTTCCCAAATCGAAGCGAGGGCGGATCGCTAGTCTTTAATAATAGAGTGGTACAATTCAATATCATGTGGTAATACGAAACTTTGTGCTGCGGTGATGCGTAAATACCACAGCACGAATGTCAGAACCGATCGTGAGACGAGGTCAAAGCCTCAATGGTATTATAATAATAATCGCCCTGTTTCAATGAGGATGTAGATATAAAGACGAAAAACTTTCCACCGAGCGGGTGATATTGCTCGGTAGACCGACGGTCCTAATGTTGTTGTTCAGGACTTGTATATATGAAAGCTTGTCTTGAAAATGTCGTAAGCGAGATGCAGGCATATGTCAAATATCTTGCGTTGTATGATGGCTCGCTCTCACAAGGTGGCGGTCACCGTCCTCCCTCGCCGAACCCGTCGCTTGCGACGAATGGCTCGGCGAGTAAATTAACCCATAAACACACAGTTTCTCGACGGATCTTCTCAGTGAGTCGCGCTTACGGTTCGGTGGTAGATTCGGCGAAGCACTGCTCTTGCTAGAGTTAGTGTTAGCAATACCTCCGGTTTGAGCCCCGAGCGCACGCACTGGGTAAGTGGGGTTTTGGTAAGGTTTTTTACTTGATCAGTCCAACGCATGGGGCCATTTTTTTCTACCTAAGCTGATAGCCTTGCGAGGCTATGTCAGTTAACCCTAACGTGTAGGTGAGATTTCGGGGCTCAAACCAGGAGACATCGCTAACATTGGCCCTAACAAGAGCAGTGCTTCGCAGAATCTACCACCGGATCGGAAATGCGACCACTGAGAAGATCCGGCGAGAAACTCAGTGGGATGAGGGGCTGTTAGTAACACCAATTTAACAATGTCTTTAATTATGAACGAAGAAAGATTTAAGTTCGAATCCCATACTAACAAATCTTAGATATTGGTGACATCCAGAGTTTCCCTCAAGCCAAATACGGATATTAATACACTACTACTGCTTTCCTACAAGATACCACCACCCTGAACATTTCTAGCGTGAAGCAGTAACACGTTTCGGATTGAAAGGTGCGACAGCCGTTATACTATAAAAACATAAGACTTATAACTCAAGAACTCAATGTAGATTGTTGACGTCTGTAGACTCCAGTAACCACTCACACCAAACGGCCAAGAGCTCGTCCAACCATCAAAGCAACAAAAAAACCGGGATACAGTGCATCAACCCTATCTAGACCGATAAGTCCAGTTTTTTTTTATTGCTTACATAGGTGGACGAGCTCACAGCCCACCTGGTGTTAAGTTGTTACTGGAGCCCATAGACATTTGCAACATAAATGCGCCATCCACCTTGAGATATAAGGTCTAAGGTATAGTGAATAAAGGTAAGGTGAGGTATAGTGATTAGTAGGCAGAGGCTTGGCTCTGCCCCTGGCATTTCTAAAGTCCATGGGCGACGGTAACCACTCACCATCAGGTGGGCCGTATGCTCGTCTGCCTACAAGGGCAATAATAATAATAATATGTGAATAAAATTGTGAAGCCCTACGTACCCTAGTCGAAACTGTAGCAGACAATTTATATTCTATACGCCGCCACTACGCCAATTACCAATTTAAACGCAGACGATACAATGGCCAAACAATGGACAACTCTATTGAGAGTGCTCCGTATAAATTACAAACCGGTATTAACAAGTTTCAACCGCTTTAACAAAAGAATAGTTGACAGATCAAACGTTACTGCTAGTGTGAATTTTTGATAAGCTTTTAAAACGAAACGCGGGTGTTTAAAAATACTAGAGGTCCCGCAGTAGTCGAAATTCAACTATAATTAATTGGAATTGTAAGTTTGTACACTATTATGATTGTATTTTCAACGCCAAGACTACACTATAGAAAAATATTAATAAAGACAAACAATATTTAATCTATTCTCAATTTGACCAAAGTTTGACAATAAATAAATAGTATCCACGCGCTTGTGCGTCAAATACATGGTATGTAGTGTGTGTAATCTTTTCTTTATTGATTTAATGTATCTTTTATGCATTTTTTTAAAAAAATATTAGCATCGTGCACTTCTTCTCTATATTCTCTATAAGTGTGGAAAATTTCATACTCCTCCGTCCGCGCAATTTTCGTAAGAAGGGATACAACATTTTTGCTTCACGTATTAATATAATAGATATTGCTGTCTCTTTCATTAACCCTTTCAGAAAGTAGGAAAAGCTCCGAAGCCGCTGATCATCAAAGGCAACCTTTCGTTTGTCCAACTAAATGAAAGATAAGAAAGACCTTTTAAAATGCAAGCCTCGAAACAGTTTTCTGGTCATGCTTTGTTGAAAACTATATCGATTACTTAACATAGCGTTAATATATCCTCATATTCCTATTCAGATAAAGTTGAACGAACTTTATCTTCAATAATAATAAATTAAGTGCGATGAATAATCACCGAGTACCGAGACTAAAAGATTGTTTATAAGTTCAGGATATTGCGCAATACTTTGTATTACTGCACAGTTGTGTGCTCAGAGCGAGTTTTTTAACGTTCTCGATAGCGTAAAAGTTAACGCAAATTTGTATGGAGTTGTAACGCTTGCCTAAGTTTGCCGCTAGGGGCCGCTGTTCCTGCAACTGCATGCAACAACTGCATACAAATTTGAGTTAACTTTTACGCGATCGAGAACGTTAAAAAATCGCACTAACCATACTGACGCCAAAATGTTACGTGCATCGGAAACATAAGTTATATTTATTTAAACTATCGATCGACTGTAGAAACATTCTTTATTGGTGCTCCACTTGTATGGGTCTCATGATATTATTATAGCCTATATTATATATAGTTAGCCTATAGTCTTCCTCAATAAATGGGCTATCTAACACTGAAAGAATTTTTAAAATCGGACCAGTAGTTCCTGAGATTGTCGCATTCAAACAAACTCATCAGCTTTATAATATAGAAGACTAGCGACCCGCCCTCGCTTCGCTTCGGAAACTGTAATATATTATTGATTTCTCCACTATTTAATGGATGTTATTATATATGTGAACCTTCCTCTTCAATCACTCTATCAATTAAAAAAAACCGCATCAAAATCCTTAGCGTAGTTTTAAAGATTTAAGCATACATAGGGACAGATATAGGGACAGAGAACTTGCGTCTTTGTTTTATACTATGTAGTGAAAAAGATAGTTAAATCACATCAAGGTACTCACAGCTCCTTGCCGCGTTTCACGCTGGACGAGAGAAGCGCGTGGTGCAGAGGGTGCGGGTGGTGAGCGTGAGGCCATCGCGGACCCTCGGCCGGAGACAGCGGACCGGTGCCCGGGGAACTGCACCTCCCTGACCCGATCTGACGACAAACGTAACATACCAGAACATTCTAGACATTCTAGAACAAAAATCCAGTAAGTAGCTCTCAATAAATATTTTAACCAAACACATTGATTCAATTTATTAGGAACAAGCGGCCCGTTCCGGCTCCGCTTGGGTCTTTAACAAAAATTTCAACGATATTTGAGATGTTTTATTTTTTTAAATAAAATAACACATATTGCGACATAGCTATAATAGTTAGACATATGCTGTCGGACACTTTTTGTAAATAATAATTTGTTCAACAAAGTCGTAGTACATTCTTTTATTCTATCATCAATAGTTTTCGCAGGGCACGCGATGTAAAGAATATTTTAGGTAATTTTTTTACACCTTGGGTGGGTTATATTATTGGAGTTTTAGTAAGGAACCCATATTTTTTTCAAAAAAGATTATAGCCCATGTCGCTTGGGAATAGTGTGGCTTCCAAACAGTGAAAGAATTTTTCGAATCGGTTCAGTAGTCTCGAAGCCTATTCAACACAAACAAACAAACAAACAAACAAATCTTTCCTCTTTCTAATATTAGTATAGATTCCAATTTAGAGGAAGAGGAAGAGGTAGACCTAAAGCAAAATGGATGGATTGGGTAAAAGACGATATATGTAAGAGGGAAGTGAGCGAAGTAATGGTATATGATATCCTTATCCTTTAAGCCACGACGACGTATATAAAATTTTACAGTGAAATCTGTGCACTGGGCACAGTTCTTATCACAGAAGACCTGCATATAATAAAAGCGGCTTTTCATATTTTCGTAGCGTTAGCAACAAGTTATCATAAAGAACTTCAATGTCTGGACGTCCACTGATTAGCACGATCCTTCGCCACGAATTTCCCAAGCTATTAGCGAATAGAGGCTTTACAACGTTACAATTATGATTTAAATTGGCGTGTCCAAGATCATATCTTACATAACCTTCAAACATAAAACTTATGGGCTTACGGAATTTCCAAAGGACAAACCCGAAATCCATACAAACTTGGGCCTGGCGTTACAGTGCTAGAATTTGGGCATAAGTTACAATACCTAAGAAGGTTTCATGAGCCCAATTTTCAGGTCTCCCAGCAATCGCCAAATTGGTAAAATCAGACAATGTTTACATTTTAGGTTATGTTTATTGTTCGAGATATTTTAATAAAAACGATATTTTTGAGGCTGTTTCCTACTAAAGATGAATAATTTTTTACGAAACCTGTTGCAGCAACAGGTTGCTTTAAAATAAAAATGGAACCTGTTACGAGAAATCGCGCGTTAGGTTGTTTACGAAAATGAACGAAAGCCAAAAATTAAAAACAACGTAATGCGAAACGCGCTGCGCACGAAATGATTTTTTAAGGGATTTTATGACCTGGTAACTAAGACCTTTAGGTCAGTCTTATTTTAATTTTAATGAAAACTTTTTTATATGAAAAACTATATTTATATGATAACTTTTTTATATAAAATATAAATCATTACGTGCTCCCATATTATCTCATCACATTTCATTTCATTTTATTTCATGCCTCTTTTATTTTTATTTTTTATTGCTTAGATACCTATCCACGAGCTCACAGCCCACCTGATGTTAAGTGGTTACTGGAGCTCATAGACATCTACGACGTAAATGCGCCACCCACCTTGAGATATAAGTTCTAAGGTCTCAGTATAGTTACAACGGCCGCCCCGCCCTTCAAACCGAAACGCGTTACTGCTTTACGGCAAAAATAGGCGGGCGGGAGGGGCGGACTCACAAGAGATCCTACCACCAGTAAAATTATTAATGTAACTACACCATAGAAAAACTCAAAGTACCAAATCGACTTTTTCATGTTATATTTAAGATTGCCAGTTGAAAATATTTTGAATTGCCGCAGTTGCCGACATGATTTCGTGTCATAACTAAATGGCACAGTTATTTTTTTCTTTTAATGATTTTTGTTAGTAGATTTTGGTGCTTTACGTTACGTTATTCAATGAGATTAAGTTTATAGTCTGGCCAGCGAATCATGGCACAACTAAATAGCGGCAATCCAAAATATCTTCAGTTGGCAACATTAAAGATAACATAACACGATTTGATACATTTGTGTTTTTCTATGGCGTAGTCACATTAATATTAAAAATGCAAAACTACCCTTTTATGCTATATTTAATGTTGTCAGTTGTAGATATTTTGAATTGCCGCCATTGTAAGTAGTTGTGTCACGATTCGATGGCCATACTCTATTTACATTGATTAAAATACCTATAAAAACAGTCATTTATTCTAAAGCAAAAGAGTATTATATATTAATAATTTTTTACACTCGATTTCCACTAAATCGATCCTATTTTATGGATGCTCTAATTCTAATCCGCACGTTTGTGGAGCTAGTTACGTATAAGTGTTGCAGATGTTTACAAAGATTGTTTGAAAACAAAAAATTGAATTCAACTTATTTTCTATACTTGGCCATTGTCAATGAAGCTAAGATTTCAATAGGTTAATCAAGCAAAATAGACGAATTTTTTGGTACATATCCCATTCGTGTAACGCTTAGGCCCAAAATGGGCTTTCTCCTTTGTTAGATTAAGTGTTTATGACCGTATTATAAGTACGATAGAATTATAATCTTATGCCGTGCAGTAAATCAGTCACGATACTTCGCTTTGAGCCACTTGACCGCAAGTGCGAACTTTCGTGCGCGGTCTGTGAGTAGCTGGAATAGCTTACTGGTGGTAGGACCTCTTGTGAGTCCGCACGGGTAGGTACCACCGCCCTGACTATTTCTGCCGTGAAGCAGTGATGCGTTTCGGTTTGAAGGGTGGGCTAGCCGTTGTGACTATACTGAGACCTTAAAACTGAAGCTCAAGGTGGGTGACGCATTTACGTTGTAGATGTCTATGGGCTCCAGTAACTACTTAACACCAGGTGGGCTGTGAGCTCGTCCACCCATCTAAGCAATAAATAAAAAATAGGCCCCTAGGCTACTATCGAATAGGTAGGAAGAAAAAAGTCGCACGCGAATATCGCTAAGGACTCTATTCAGGCTTTGTTTAAAGGACATATCATAGCGCTTGGAAACCGCTGGTAGTCGGGTTATGTACTAAATTTTTGATTCAAGACACGGTAAAATGATTTTCCAAAATAAGATGTTGATTACTATTTCGGTTTTAACTTACATGGTATATAATGTATACCACATTTACATAATATCTTCCTTATTATTCTTCTTTATTCTTTATTGTACACACAGGTAATACAATATAATAATTGCGAAAGTTTATAAAATGGCGAGCTTAACTCAACAATTGAGTTATCTACCAGCTAACCGTTCTTAAAAAGGGTGAGCTTTAAGAACGGTTAGCCAAAAAAATATATCGACGTTTATATTCCATCCCGACTCAAAAGTCAATATCTGTATAAGATTATCTATTATCTTTCTTCTTAAAACAAAACACTATGTGATTCATCTAAAACAGAGTTTTATTTATTAAATACAGTTAAACTTTTACTTAACAAATATCAACTAATGAAATAGCTATGTACTAACCTAAAACAGAGAATCGACAATTAAATGTTCATGCTTTACTGTTCTTATATTCAAATTTGAATCGTCCTTTTTACTTTTATAATTAAGCTAATTCACAAGGAGTTTTATTAAAAATGGTTGAATGTTTTTCTGATACCTACCTACATACCCAAATATTAATGGTTCTGTCAACGTCAACGTCAACACAAAGCTTACNACCTAAAACAGAGAATCGACAATTAAATGTTCATGCTTTACTGTTCTTATATTCAAATTTGAATCGTCCTTTTTACTTTTATAATTAAGCTAATTCACAAGGAGTTTTATTAAAAATGGTTGAATGTTTTTCTGATACCTACCTACATACCCAAATATTAATGGTTCTGTCAACGTCAACGTCAACACAAAGCTTACATCTGTAACTTCAACTAAATCAATAAAAATATACACGTGTATCCAATATTCAGCAAGGACTTCTCACAGATTTGTTCCACTTGAGTTCACTTTCCAAACTTTGATTGCCAGCCAGCAATGAGCCCCTGTTACGTTGTTTACTCGTGGCCTTCAATCGCTTAGATTCTGATAGAACTCAATTGGAATAGAAATCTTGTGAATATCATTTTGTTCGTTCGTAGTCTACGCGATTCGGTCATTCGATCGTGGCGAGGATTGGCAGTTGTTGCCGGACTTCTAGGAAACTTCTAGATTTTAAAACGGCGTGATAGAACATGGTAATCTAATCTCCTGATGTTAATCGGTTATCAGAACCGAGGTTCAATTGTATTTGCAAACGCGGACAGAGCATTCATGGTAGAAATTCAATCCGGAAATACATGAAGTCAGCGTCAGAACGGTACTTCGATAAGACCATGCGTCATGATAATCGCCTTATCGTTGCCGCCGCTGACTACTCCCCTAATTCTGATCACGCAGAAGCCAGTTACCGACGACGCCCTAGACACGTCCTTACAGATCCATCTGATCCAATAACCTTTGCATTAGACGCCTTCAGCTCTAACACTAAGAGCAGGCTAAGGAACCCCGCTAACCGTACTCGTCGAACTCGACAAAGAGGTCGGCGTGCAACCTAACCCATGCATCAGCTCGCTGAGTTTCTCGCCGGGTCTTCTCAGCGGGTCGCGATTCCGATCCGGTAGTAGATTCATTCGCGAAGCAATTGCTTTTGAGTTGTTAGGTCTGCTTCGGAGGCGCTCGGGCAGCTGTTAGCAAATCCCACTCCTGGCTGAGCCTTTGCTCGCCCACCTGTCCTGGTGAAACTGGAAAGGCCTACGGGCCACCAGTAATCCTTCAATCATAAAAAAAGTAGAAATTGTCACTAGAGCTTACGACAACAATTGAATAGATAATAGGCAGTTAGGTAGTAAGATATGGTTAGGCTCATACCACAGACGGTATTTGACAAAAATAGTGGTTTGATAATCCATTAAATTTAAGTAACAAGTCTTACAACTAACTATGT